AGCCTCCTGAGTAGCTGGGACTACAGGCGCCTGCCACCACGCCCGGCTAATTTTTTGTATTTTTTAGTAGAGATGGGGTTTCACCATGTTAGCCAGGATGGTCTCAATCTCCTGACCTCGTGATCCACCCACCTCGGCCTCCCAAAGTGCTGGGATTACAGGTGTGAGCCACCGCGCTTGACCCACATAATCTTTCTAAAGCACAAGTCTGACCCTGTTTTACTCCATCTCTTTTAGCCCCCCCACTGACAGTTTAAAGAACTCTATCTCTGCCCTTTCTCCACATCCACAGCTTCATTGACTCTGTGTCTCTGTGTCATTACTCCGAGCCACCACTGGAACCCTCTCCTAGGATACAGTGGTCTCTTAGGCTAATTCCCTGATGGTCACGTTCACTTGGCAATTCCACTCCCAGGGACTCCTTCCTCCTCTAAGAAACTATTGCTGACATCTCCATTTTACAAACACTGTTCTGATTTCAATTCTTTCCACTCTCACCCCAGTCTTTCTCCTAGAATTTACTGCCTCAGATTATGATGGCTTGTTTACTCCTTTGTCCCCCTGATAACACCAAGCTATGAACACCCTGAGGACAGGGCTTTTCTTTTGGTTCACTTCTTAACAGTTTTACCTAGCAGCATCCCACTTAGGGATGCAGAATTTGTAGATTCAGTGAGTATCCAATAAATGAGTATGATTGATACTAAAGGGGTGAAAGCAGAGAGACAGTTGAACTAAGTATTACCTTGAATTTTTTAAAAATCCTATTAATTAGACCATCACTAGCACTCAAACTTCCCATATGCTGAAAGGACCTTTTATGACCCAGACTAGGAAGGTACACAGTGTCACTTCACTGTATTCAACTCATCCAAGTAGTCACAAGCCCAACCAAATACTAGGGGAAGCTAAATCCCAATCTTTGATGGGATTATTGTTCAAAAACTGAAGACCATTTAAAACCAGAGTCACCATTGGAGGATGCTAGTGAACTAACTCAGTATTTTGAAAATGTATAAGGAAAGAAAAAGAATCACTTATTGAGCCTTTCCTACACAAACTATATAACTAAGTAATCAAATAGTAAGTGAAGTGAAATTTCTCTTCATAGAAATATTTCAAGTAGTAAATGAAGAAGGATAGAATTAGAATATCAGGCCGGGCATGGTGGCTCATGCCTGTAATCCAAGCATTTTGGGAGGCCGAGGCAGGTGGATTACTTGAGGTCAGGAGTTTGAGACCAGTCTGACCAATACGGTGAAACCCCATCTCTAACAAAACTACAAAATTAGCCAGATGTGGTGGTGGCAGGTGCCTGTAATCCCAGCTACTTGGGAGGCTGAGGCAGGAGAATCGCTTGAACCTGGGAGGCACAGGTTACAGTGAGCCAAGATTGCACCATTGCACTCCAGCCTGGGCAACAAGAGCAAAACTCCATCTCAAAAAATAAAGAATTAGAATATCACTATTTTGCAACTCTTAATGATTGCTAGATCCAGACATTGACCATCAATATCAGTCAACATTAAAAAAGGAGAAAGAAAGCCAAACATTACATATTCTTTTTAGAAAAAGAAAACACTGCTTACAAAGTAGATTTGGGGGAAAATATATGTAGTGTATGCAGATCCAACTATCAAGTAGAGAAAAAAAGAAAGAAGCACATTTTAATAAATGCCTCAGGGATCCTATAAGCAAAATTCAGACTCAGAAACTTGACAGGACAAATGACCAGTTTCTTCCATAAATAAATGGGTAAGAGTTGGAGGGGAAACTACGGAGAGTTTAAAGTCATATCAACCAACCACAATGTGTAAATTTTATTTGGATTCTGACTCAAAGAAACTGCATAAGAAAATAAGTGACATTTGTGAGACAACTGGAAATTCAAGCTCTGAGTAAATATTTACTGATATTCAGGTAGTATTAGTTTCATTTTTTAAAATAATATAATGTCATTGTGGTTGTGTTTATAAAGTATCTTTTAAAAGTCCATTTTGAATTATTGATGGATAAAATGATGTATATGCTATGCATAAGATGTATATATGACATATATTGTATACACGTAATGTCTAGGATTTGCTCTAGAATAATATAATGAAAGAGGTTTTAAGTGGGACAAATACAAGATTGTCCATGAATTGAAAATTATAAAAGCTGAGCAACGACACTTGGGAGTTTGTTGTATTATTTTGTCTATTTTTACTCTAAAACCTTCCCATATAAATATTTACTTTTTAAAAAATTTTGCTAACTCCTCAAGAATGCTGAATGAAGTAAACGCTCCTAGATCAGTGCTGTGATGCACTCTATGATCTGGCTCTTACCCACGTCTTTAGGAACACCTGCGATCACTCTCGTTTCACCTACATTTAAACCACATGAAACTACTTATAGTTCCCACAAAGCACTAAAATTCCTCCTGCTTTTGTAAATGTTCCTTTTTTCAGAATGTCAAGTTCCATTCTTCTTCTCCTGGTAAAATTCAGTCAGTCACATCACGCATTGGCAACTGCATGCCGCAGGCTCCCTGTTGTGGACTGGCCACCCACAACGAAGTGATGGATATCCACCATTTGCTGCCCCGGCTGCCTCTCCAGCCTTTCCTGCCCTCTTTTCTGCTCTGTAAGGCTGACCTATTTGGACTGCATCAGGGGCTCCCATGTCTTCTGGCTTCCGATTAGACTTCTCCATAAAGACCCACCAGCAGAAGATCTAGAGGTCAAGGTGCAGAGGGAAGTCGCTGTATTTATGTCCCTGGCTTGCTCCCTGCCAGGTAAGCACAGGTTGGTTGCTTCCTCTTTGCAAATATCACTCCTATCAGGAGACCCTTTCCAAGTAGTTCTCTTTCTGGTACCGGTGATTGTTTCTTTTCCTTTTCATCTTCAGCTCAAGAATTGGTTTCTCATAAACCTAGTGCACTATTTGTGAAAGAGCCCTCCATTTAACTCTCCACTAATTACCCAGTTTCAGTATTGCTCCTGTATAATTAGTGTAATATTCTAATTAGTATACTAAATATACGAATTAGTATAATAAAAATTATACTAATTATACAATTGTTAGGGAAAAAAGAAAAAACACCCAAACCAGAAAAGACTACAAAAAGAGCAAGACACAGATATAGTCTGAGAAAACACAGAAGAAACAGTTGAAGTACATTTCAGAGAGAGAGTGCACACGTGCAATGGCTTGGTGGTACAAAAGAAACAAGGCAGGGTTGATGCTGTGCTTCACTTGTCAGCTGCTTGAGCTAGAAAGCAAAGATGAGGGCAGGGAAGGCTAAAGAACCAGACAGAACCTCGACTTTACAGGTCAAGTAAGGACAGAGTTTTTGATCCGTAGGTCAATTGGGAAACATTGAATATTCCCCTTGGCCTTCCAGGCCTAGGTAAGGGATCGTCACCTTGCAGACAATCCCTGAGAGCCTTCTACCACACAGTCAGAAGTACGTGGCTCTAGCATGTGATAAGCACTCAATAAATGTTCACTGGATCAGTGAAAAAAGAACAAGTAAACCACGAATGGACAGCTTAGAGAGTTTTTTCCATCATATACGGGCATGATTTTGTCATCTCCAGGAATTCTTTCCTGCATATATCCTTCCTGAACTTAATCCTATTTGCTCTTGGCTTGTATCTTCACTTGCAATAAACATAAAAAGCTCTGGAGAGCTATAGTGTGTTACAACGTTGGAAAGTAAGTCAACCCCAGTCCAATCTTTTCTACCATGACAACTGTTTTATTCTAGAAATGAGTTAACAAGGGCCATCACAAAATCAGGTGATGAAGATTCTTGCCATAAGCACAATAGATTTTTCTGTTAAACTTCACTAATTCGAGGTGGTTAAGGCAGCGTATTTGGAATTCATAGGATGAGTAAAAAAGATGCCTACTTTGATTTGTTTAGAACAAGAAATGCAACCTTCTTTCTTTCATGCATAAGGTACAGCACAAATCATGTGCCAACCAAAGGTGACAAGCAGAAGCTTTGTTTTTATTTGCATTACAAACTCAGTATGGCCCGATTTACACAAGAAGAAATGATAAGCATAATTTTAACTGGTCCCCACATCATTTAATAATAAGCAGGAATGCTGACTAAAACCTGCTTGAAAATATACTTACACTATAAATTTCCTTCCTTAATGCAAGCAAACAAAATTAAAATACATGGTGATCTCACTATTGTGGCAACCGAGTATTCACTAGTATCACAATAATGATGTCTTTGTATATTCAGATATTTTGTGATAATGGAGATGCTCATTTCATTCATAAGTAAGATGGATAGCCACAAGTTGCTACCGTTTCTTTTTTGCCTAAACACAAAAAGTCCTCAGTTAATCAAAAAAGTATAAAATGCTATGGCTTCTATGCCAATGCTGGGATGTTTCTATGGTGTAATTTTCTTTTTTTTTTTTTTTTTCTTTTTGAGATGGAGTTTCACTCACCACCCAGGCTGGAGTGCAGTGGCACAATTTCAGCTCACTGCAACCTTTGCCTCCTGGGTTCAAGCAATTCTCCTGCATCAGCCTCCCAAGTAGCTGGAATTACAGGTAGCACATCATACTCAGCTAATTTTTGTTTTTTAGTAGAGGCAGGTTTCACCATGTTGGTCAGGCTTGTCTGGAATTCTTGACCTCTGTTGATCCACCCACCTCGGCCTCCCTAAGTGCTGGGATTACAGGCGTGAGCCACCACACCCAGCCTGGTGTAATGTTTTTAATTAGCATAAAAAGTTTTCATTCTGGTAGAAAATTAATCAGGAAAAATAAGAAGTGATACTCATTTATTTTTGAGGTTCAAACAAATATGCATCAGTTTCCTTAGTGGCATAAATGATGATTTTTTTCTTGTTTTTCCTAAGCAACTCTATAATTCATAAAATTTGTAACTTGATAAATCAGGAGAAAAAGTTAACTAAAGTCCTGTGAATTGAATAAACTCTGTGACTAAAATACATTTCATTTTAATAAAATAGTTGTTTTGCTCACCAAAGAGGCCATGGTAAATCCAATGACTTCAATATAACCATCATCATGACGCTGAGGTTCGAAATCGTGGTGATCTCCTGGGTTTCCCCAGGGCATTGTGCCAGCACAATATCTGCAAGAGAAGATGAAAGACAGAAGTAAATACGTCCCATCCTTCTCATGACTATCATGAGGTGGTAGTTTGTAGTTATACCCAATGTTTATTAAACATAAAAACAGTTTTTCATTCTTGGTACACACCTTCCAATAGAAAAGAAAATGTACTTCTTATCATCTACAAAATACCAAGCTGTGAAAATGGGCCATAATTTTGCAACAAAAGTATCCCGTAGTATCCAACTTTCTCTTCATTCATTATTTATATTTCTCACTATGATTCTTGTATGTCTGTTTTCTATGATATATCATGAATTGTCTATAGGTGGTTTCAGAATTTGGTCTTAAAGAAAGATGCCAGTAGAAAAGAGACAGGGAAATGAAGTGGGAAGCATTTGCCATTAATACATAAGCAAAATAAGAGGTACTCACAGGAGAAGGGAAAGGTAACTATGGAAGACAGAGTGAAGAAGAGATGAAATACAGATAAGAGATTAGAAAGAGAAGGGGAAACAAAAGAAACTGAAGAAATAGAGGAAGGAGAATATAGATGGGAAAGAGGGAGAAGCAACAAAAGAGAGAAAAGAGGAAAGACAAGGGAAAGAATAATAAAGCAAAGTAATAAATAATGCTTTCTGAGAACCAAGGCCTTCCACTTCAATTAAGCTGCAAATATTTCTGGAATAAAATTGTAACTGACTATATTGAGCACTGCCAAGAATAATCAGGAGACTATGATGTCTTTTCCTAGCCACAGATTTACATACAACTCTCATTTCAATTAAATTCAGTCTAAATACAACGTATTTGCAGATTTTGTGTCTGAGTTGTTTGGCAGGGAAATAAATGGTTACAGATCCATCCTTCCCAATATCTTGGCTTCAGGGCCTAGAACACAATTTATGCCACTGAGATAATATGTTTATTTTGAGTCTAGTTATCTTAAATATCCCTTCTCCTGAGGTGCGTTAATAGCACCAAGGAGAGTTGACATCCTGGCTAGAAAACAATATTCTAACTGATCCTATTTTTCAAAGCAATCATCTGGCAACAATTTTGAATGAATTCCACACTCGAATCAGACTGGATGGTTTAACAGTTTTTAGGAAACTGAAAAAAAAAAAAAAAGTATTTCAATTCTCTCGTTCTTAGAGGGGGAGAGGAGGAGAACAGTAATTTAGAAATAAATTGAGATGTTCCAGTCAAGAGGAGTGCCTGGGTTTCTTAAAGATGGGTAAGTACAGACAATGCATGCCACATGATGCACAAAACCACCAACCACAAAGAACACTGAATAAACCAAATCAGAGAATGAATTATCAGACCTAGAAATGTTTAATTTTCCATTTAGATAACTGATCTTCATTGTTTACATCTGAAACTTTTCTGTTATGAAAACAGACAACCTCAAGTCAGAGTTCATGTCAAACCAAGGAAACAATACAAACAGAGCTTACCTGGGTATATTTAAAAATACTATACACTGGAACTTCAGTTCCTGAATCTTTGGGGTGAGATCTGTTCCATCACACTGAAACAATCAAAACAGAAAAGAGGTTTTGAAGTAGTCACAAGTCTAAAAAGTTATCAGAGATAACTAGTTTGACAATAGTACGCACCATGGTCTCTTTCTCCTTGCCCTATCTCTGCTTAAGTGAATGCCGGTCACAATGATTAAAAATATATTCTGGTTATAGCTTTACTGGACCAGGGTACAGAGCTTGGTTTTGTTTGCACTTAAGGTAAGAGCAAAACCTCCATTTGATTAAAATGATTTTTTCTCTGGTCTGACAATCAAAGGAAATACTATCATTCCTAACAATGGATGATTATTAGTTATCTAGACTGATGGTGTCAATATTAAAAGATTTATGAATACGTAAAATAATGAAAAGAAAAAAGCCTCAAGTTAAAGCAGTAGTATTCGTCACCATCATTATCTGATTCAAACAAGTCATAAACATAGTGACTTATTTTCTCTGTTTTTGGAGACAATTTTTATTTTGAAAATGTCAAATATTTTGAAGACTTTTTAAAAAATCTATGTACCGCAAACTTTTGAAAAGGTATCTATTATACACTAGTATGATCTTCATTCGTGGTTTGTTCTTACAAATTTAATCTTGTACAGATGCCTAGGCTGAAGGGCAATGGTGCGATCTTGGCTCACTGCAACCTCCGCCTCCCAGGTTCAAGCGACTCTCCTGCCTCAGCCTCCCGAGTAGCTGGAATTACAGGTGCCCGTCACCATGCCCAGCTAATTTTTTGTATTTTTTAGAAGAGACAGGGTTTCACTGTGTTAGCCAGGCTGGTCTCGAACTCCTGACCTCAGGTGATCCGCCCACCTTGGCCTCCCAAAGTGCTGGGATTACAGGCGTGAGCCACCGCGCCTGGCCATTCAGACTTTAGACTTCTAAGAGTCACTGTTTTCCTGGAGTTTAGACCTGGGAATCAAGAGTCTCAGCCCAGCGTGGCCTCAACGACCCTTGAACATGGCTTCCGTGATCAGCTGGTGCTTTATCCTTTGATAAATCAAGGGAAAGTCTTTCCTGTTCCTTTCTCATTTCCCACTGGTGACAAAGGTCAAAAGAGAATAACTCTAGTCATGACTATCGACTTTCCAATGTCAAAAGTGTAAAGCCTGCTCTCATATTTGCTTTCCTCATACCCTTATCACAGAATTTCCCCATTACTTTCTCGTTTGGAGAGAGGAGCAAAGCATTCCCAAGCTCCCTGCAAATTTTGAAAGAGTTCTTTAGGATCAGCTTCAATCTAAGTATAATGATTTTGCTAGCAGTCAAGTTGTCTCCAGCACCCACGTTTTTTTCCCAGTTGATCTCAATACAGCCTAATTTCCATGAGTATTCTCAAAGAACTGTTTCCAAGAAATCTTTACAATTTTAAATAAACAAACTATTTTCAAATATAACTTAGTAATCAAATTCTAGATATTAAAGGTGTTTTTCTAGTACTCTAAACTACTAAGCAAACATCTTCCAATTTACTTAAGAACTTGAAATGAGTTTATAAATGACTATGCCAATGAATAAAAAAGTAGACATTGTAAATGTCAAAGTTGCATGTTGTAAGCAACTAAAACTTAAAACCTAGGATGTGAGACATTAATAGTGTACAAAGCATTATGGTTGCATTGCAGAAAGATTGTAATAAATATTGTGTTTAGAACAGAATTCATTTTTTAACTTTCTACTTTTTCCTTCTGGGAAACATGTTAGTGATTCTGGGAACTCATCAAATCATATGAAAATGTCTGCTTTACACCATATACTGTTTACAGAGTTTTTATATATATATTATTGCAATAGACTGTACTATTCCTTTAGAATAGCATTTTTCAACTTTTTCCCAATTTCAAATACACACAAAGGGACACATTTGCATGCAAAATACGTTCCTTTGTACAAGCTCATATATTGATAACAAGAAGAAAATATGGAAAATGGAACAAAAAAATGCTATATGTAGGTTTTTACTGTTGTTTTGTGTTTTCTCAGTCTAGTATTCACATACATATTTTGTATCTCTATGAGACATTATTAGCTATTGTATTAGAAACACTGACTTCACCTTCACAAAGAAAAGATAGTCTGTTGTTGGGTAGACATCTAATCACTCTTGCTAACCTCCTATTGTTTTTCATCTCACACTCAAGAAAACATAGAATGATGTCATTGTAAAGTACCCTTGTAGCTGGGACTACAGTCACACACCACCATGCCCAGCTAATTTTTTGTATTTTAGTAGAGATGGGGTTTCACCATTTTGCCCAGGCTGGTCTCAAACTTTTGAGCTCAGGCAATCCAGCTGCCTCAGCCTCCCAAAGTGCTGGAATTACAAGCGTGAGCCACCGTACCCAGCCCATCAAAATTATTCTTATTCTTTACCTATGACATGATAAATTCAAGCATTGTGATATTCTCATCCCTTCTTTTCCATTTACTTTTTGCGGCATTCATGTCATATCCAAATGAAATAAATCAACATATTCAATACTTACAACAACTTTAACATGTTTGGACAGATCTCTAGAACTTCTCTGTAGGAAGTCAGAAAAAGCTGCCTATACCACAGGGAAATAAAGAAGAAGAAATTCGTAATTACATGGTTGTACCAAATCCCTGCTTCCATATCCTAGATTCCAAGGATTCCAAAGTATGCAAAAAGTCTAAACATGTTCTCTTTCTGCAGAATCCAAAGTAAAGCAGTGCAGTAATTGTCAAGTTGAAATTTTTCTCTTTGTTTCCAAACTATAATTTATAGTTCCACTATAAAATTTAAGAGCACAGAATGAGAGAGAAAAAGTAGACAATTTGAGGGTCATTGGAAGGTTTATTTTGACAACCTATTCTGACCACTTTCCTTGTCCATTAAGTGCTGATACAGTCTTTCCACTAAGATTTTCCTTATTTGCTCTGAGTGTCACAGGGCTTGACTTCCATAAACTACATATGCAGTTTCCAAACGCCTTTTAGTTAAACTCCTCCTATCCAGTGGCATAAATTTAAACTGTACTGGTATTTTGGATGCCTTTTTTTTTTTTTTTTTCATTCTCTATTTACTTCTAGGAACGTGCCTGAGAAACAAAAGAAGGAAAAAGAAGGTACCCTCTTTAATCTCACATATGCATCCATGAAAAACACCCCATATTCTGCCAGTTTCTAATCCAAATGTCAATGTGTGCACCCTGGTGAAAACTACATTCTTACCTAAGATTCTTCAGACATCCTCAGTCTACACAATTCCCCCATTTCTTACATTGTCTTTGATGTTTGTTTCTCACATTCCTCTTTGAATAGCATCCTCTCTTGTTCAACATGAAGCCTCAGGGCTTCCTTACAAGCTCAAAGATGAGGAACACCAACTCTCTTTCTGACAGCTAACTTAAATATACCTCACCTTCATTCTTAAGCCCAGACATTAAACAGTAACCATATACAGACATAAATAAATGAAATGTATATGTGATTATTTCTAATGTAGTTTGCAACTTTATTACACAGTGAATTGGCACTAAGTAATATGTAGTAATTATAAAATAAAATGTATACCTACCCCTGCATAGAACATTTTATTTCGAAAACGACTGTTGAATTTCTCTGGATTTGCTTCTGTGAAAGAGGAAAGGTAGTTTTGTTATGGAGACCTCATTAAAGGTAGCGACTTAGATTAGCACTCCCACTTCCTCCCCGACTCCCTCCCATCCTACAGATCCAATAGATCCCATGGTTTGGTTATCATCTTTCCCCTAGTTCCAGGCCAGTCAGTACAGTGGCCCAGTGCTACAGGGACAGTAATCCAGGACTATAAATGTGTAGCTACAAACTGGCATCACTGACATTAACTGGGAACTTGTTAGAAGTGCAAATGATCAGGTGCTAGCCAGATTGACTGAGTCAGAATGACTGAGTGTGGAGTCTATACATCTGTGGAGGGGCTTAACTAGCTCTCCAGGTGATTCTCAAGCACATTAAAGATGGAAGCACTCTAGATGCTTTGTAAAACTTGGAGGGTTCACAGGGATATTGGGCTGGGATAACAGGAAAAGGTGGAAGGAGGTGGAGAAGTGATTATTTACTTTGACTTTCATAGGGCATGACTTTCATAAGCTATGTATGCAGCTTCCAAAAGTAATTAAACATGTTTTTGAATTTGGCTTGTGTTTGGAATAGACATAAAAATGGGAATTAATGCCAGTTTAACTATTCCTTCTAAAAGAAATACAATACATGTAGTTATGCTGAGAAGTGTCCATTTGATGGGCTATACTTATATCTGTGCTAAAAATTTTTTCCACAGTTAAATTTTTTAAAATTCTCCTTTAATGAGATTTATATGAATTACCCATTTTTATGTAGATATATTCGCATAATTCTCAACTTGAAAGTACTACATTTTCTTGACTAATACCTCATAGATTCTACTATCCAAGCTATTTTTTCACAACAGCTTTCATGAGCCTTTGCGTTACCCTTCAGGTATTTTATGGCAAATGATCCATGAAGTCGCAGACAGTGCCTGTGTTGGAAAACAGTTTAAAGTCTCACTATGAGTTTTCTTGGTTTGAACAGCCACTCACTATCTGACAAAATAAGTAAGCTTGCCACAATTAAAAATGTGGTCTTGCTTATCTTGTTTTTTCTTCTATAGCTCAGCTTAAGATTTCTTGACTAACTAGTTAAAAATATGGGGAAAATACAAATGAACAGAAACAGTTAAAAAAAAAAGACTACTCACTGAATTATATATTTCATAGACAAATAATTTTTTAATTTAATGTTAAAAAAGCAGATTAACAGCTACTGAAAAGTCCATACGTCTGGTCTAAGTGTATCAGCAAAATCTGGTTCCAACATCTTATAGACATTTATTTTTGTTACCACCTCTATCTCAACTGCATGAATATTGTACCTATTAATTCCAATCAACATCAATTCTCCCTTAGCAGCCCTTCAGTGGCTGATTTTCCTCAAAGACTCTGATTTACATGCAGGGGAAATGTTTACAATTCCATTTCATACTGCATCAAAATACAATACGCCTCAGCAATAAACTATACAAAGATTAATGCTTGACATCTTTTGTTTTATAATCACACGCATATAAATGTACATGTTCACACACACAACAATTTGCATATTCCACTCTAAAATAGTCCTACAGCTTAAAATAAAAGAGAAAAACACTTTCCCCAAAAGAATTTTCTTCTAAGCCTGGTATTTCCATGTAAGGGTCTCTCCCTGCTCCCTTCTCACTCTGATGCATAGAAACTTCATCATAATACAAGGAAGTGAATCATTAGAAAACTTCCGGATTAGTTAGACTAAAGACGAGATTCACTTGAGCTCACTGAGCTCACTGAATGAGTTCATTGTTGGCCACTTATTCATTTAGACCTCTCTTCCTGTCTATTTTTGGAAATCCATGTATTAGTGATAATTGTGTTACTTTACAGGTATTATTAAGAAGTTTGGGGTATTTTATTAAGAAGCCTAGGATCTGGATTCTGCTAAAGAATATGGGACAAAAAATGGGGTAAGAAATGAAGAATAAAATCCCCCATTTACTTCCCAAATTAACTCTCCTTAAATATAGGAAGGGTATCAGGTCATAAATGTTGGCCCTAAGGTAGGTCCCTCTGAATATCTGATATCCAAGAACTGTCTAAGGCAGGGAGGGGGAAAGTGGAAGTGTTTCTGACTCAGGATATTTGAGGTTCTGTTATCAATCATCCCTTCTAGCTGTGATTTTCTAGCCAATCAGAGAGGAATACCAAACTATGGCTTTCTCTTCAAACAGTATTGTTCTTGCTTGGCACAGAATTTGACCTTTACAGAGCCTGTCGTCTCAAAACCTTGTGAAACCAGGAAGGTCAAAGTCCACTAACATTTCTGGATCCAGTAAGAGACTTTAAATATCTGTTTCTTACTTGTATTTTATACTCTAGTGGTTTTTAATCCTGTAGCATCACTCTTGACTTCTGGTGCCTAAGTGCATGATCAGAATTTTCATGTTATTACCAGAATCTGAAAATCTGAATTCTGGGTTTTAGTGCTCTGTTATTTCAAATTCCAAAGTATGCAAAAACTCTAAACACCACTTCCTTTCTTACATAACCTGGAGGGAAAAAAGTAAAGTACTTCTCATTTACGACTTTATCTCACAAGTCTCTTGATAATCTACATCCTAGCATGGTTCTGGTTATATATAGTCAGAAGGCACTAGATACAGATATAGACACAGGCATAGACATGGATATATAGTATAGCTATATTAATAAGAGAGTTTAAGAGAGAGAACGAGACAGAAAGCAAGAGAGAGAGAGATCAATTGGGACTACAAAACATAAGTCAAAACCCTAAACTTTCTCAGTTCTAAATGGCATAAGAAAATGTTGATGAAATATTTAATAGCATGTCATTATTTTGTCTTCTCTTTCAAAAATTGTGTTCCCCTAATCTTGACTCCATCTCTTTTAGTACCCGAAATCACTACATGGTTTCATTCACACCTCTGTATCACTCAGTGGGGATGCCTAGTACCTTCCTAATTAATCCCATCACCATTACACCTATTCTTTCAACCTAAACTACCTATAGCTCCTCTATTGTTCTAAGATGCCTGTTTCTTTTATACAGAGGGGACGTTTTTGTTTTTGCTACCATGTTTCAATGGCTCTGGTTATGTAGTGTTGCACTTTAATAGTGTTTTGTGAAGCTAAAGAATATCCTAGTGACTTCAGTAATAGTCTCTATCACTTCTTAGTATTTTACTCGCTTCAAAACTTCCAGTAGAACACAAAGATTAACAATCCTGAGACCTGGAACACACATCTACTTCTGCCTTTTACTGCCTTTGAGACCCTGGACAACTAGGTCTCAGGGTTCCATCTGTCTGAACAACTAGGTCTCAGGGTTCCATTTGTAAGAAGCTCCTGTCCTGTCTAGCTCCCAGAATCATCCTGAAGGTTAAAATGAAACAACACTGAAACCCACTGTAAACACGTAAGTGATATACAAACAAAAGGGAACATGCAAAACACCTGCTAGAAACTTCCTCCCTGGGAGATGGAAATGGGACGTTGTCCTCACCTCTGGATTCATGGAACTCCAGTGTGACATGAGCATCAAATCCAAGGCTGAAGTAGTTATTGAAAACATTCAGAGGGAGCTGCAATGATAAACAAAGACAGAGGCAAAATTGTGTGTGGCCAGGCAGAAAGAAAAGAATAAAACCTAAAGCCGGACCCCTATCTCTGAAGAAGTCCCTAAGAGACAGATCAGCCACAACTCGAAGTGGAGGGTGCTTATGTAGAAAGAACAGGAAATTATTGGATTAATTCATTAGTGAAAGCTAAAATCAAGTAATTTTCTCAAGAATCATAAATAGTATAAGATCAGGAGATCGAGACCATCCTGGCTAACCCGGTGAAACCCCGTCTCTACTAAAAAATACAAAAAACTAGCCGGGCGAGGTGGCGGGCGCCTGTAGTCCCAGCTACTCGGGAGGCTGAGGCAGGAGAATGGCGTAAACCCGGGAGGCGGAGCTTGTAGTGAGCCGAGTTCGTGCCACTGCACTCCAGCCTGGGCGACAGAGCAAAGACTCCGTCTCCAAAAAAAAAAAAAAAAAAAAAAAAAGAGCTACAAATACAAATTATTAAATAACCATTCTTATAGATGCTGTAATAACAGGAACTCGTTAAGCTGAGGGATATATATTTGCAATAGTTACAAAGAAGAATTCACTAAGCAAACCTAGAAAGTAAATTCAATTGTAATGTCTAACCAATTTATTCAGTGGATACACTTTTTTCAAGAATTTATAGTCAGCAAACCTATACTGTAATGTAAAATGAATATTTAACTTGTTTACCAATCACCTATCTTTCTCTCTCTCTATATATATATATATATACACACACACACACACACACACACACGCACACACTTTTTTTTTTTTTAACATAAGTCATATAAAAAATAGGGCAATGTGGCCAGGCACGGTGGCTCACGCCTGTAATCCCAGTACTCTGGGAGGCTGAGGCAGGTGGATCACGAGGTCAGGAGATCAAGACCATCCTGGCTAACACAGTGAAACCCCGTCTCCACTAAAAATACAAAATAAATTAGCCGGGCATAGTGGCGGGCACCTGTAGTACCAGCTACTTGGGAGGCTGAGGCAGGAGAATGGTGGGAACCCGGGAGGCGGAGTTTGCAATGAGCCGAGATCGTGCCACTGCACTCCAGCACTCCAGCCTGGGTGACAGAGCAAGACTCCGCCTCAAAAAAAAAAAAAAAAAAAAAATAGGACAATGTGACTTGTGACTCATTCAGTTACTGCTGGCCTAGAGAGAAAAACAACAACAAAAATACATATTAGTATTATTCAAGTTCTCGTTTAATCTATCAACCCTTATATCTTTATTATGACCATGAAATCTGAAAACACAGCCACACAGATGCAATGTAAGCTTTAACTTTCCTTCCTAGACTTCTTTGGGTCTCTGGCTGTTACCAGTGCAAGTTGAATGAAGAGAACTCTGCAGCCTCAAATCCTGCATTAAATCTGCAAAACTAATGTGATTTTAAGCTTCAGTTCAATGTTATAACAATTCATGTGGAAAATGCGAGAATGGGAATGACTGGTTCTCCCACTTTTCCTTCTGCAACTCAAGTGAAAGGTAAATATTAAAGTAAATAAAGATGAGAAATGTTTCCAGCTAATTATCTGGTTTGTGTCCCAAATTGAACTGTACCTGTCTTCTCCGAGAGATAAGTGTTTTAACCCTCAAGATTTCAAAAGGATGTTTTTTACAGTATTTCATATGCCCCTTGATCAGCAAGATTTTCTGTTTCACTACAAGGAGAATTTTCTTTCATTAAGAGAAAAGTGAAATAAGAGAGAGAGCAAGAGAGATATAAAAGCAGAAAAAAGAAAATTGGACTGGCTTGGTCTCTAATGAAAGTAAGGAATGACCCCACATGGAAGCTCTTGATTCAAAGCCTATGTAATGAATGATTCAGAGTCCAAGTGAACCCTTAGAAATGGTCTCAACTAAATGAAGGACCAGGAGAGAAACTAAACACATAGAACAATGCCAAAATCATGTCTCACTCTTCAGGCTTCTTATTTGAGAATATCCAGTTCCTGCACTTAAACAAAATACCAGTTCTTAGTAATGACAGCATGGGTTGCTGATCCTGCCAAAAGCACAGACATGTTCATCTCCTCTACCATTTATGTTCTTTTGGCCACAATTCTAACCCACGTCTTAACATCTACTGATAGCTAAGGAGAACATCTGGTCACCATCACCTAAATCATATCCCACTTTAGTCTGTTTTTAAGTTATTTATATTTTCCAGGAAAACTCACCCCAGTTTCCCATACATCTCTTTAAAAACCCCTTTTTAAAAAACCCTTTAATTATCTGGATTGATCTGGATTGGTGTTCCCTGGCTACACCAAGAAGTCTTTCCATTTCTTAAGCTGTTGGAAAGAGAATTAAATATGGATTTCTATTGCACATCTAACCATTCCAAGTTTAGTAGGAAAAGAAACTTAAAATATCCATATGGTACTCTTCTTTATATTTCAGCTGTTTTCTATCCAATTTCTATAAGTCAAACACATTATAAAAAAGCATCACATCTCAAGATGATACTTATTGTTTAAACAACATTGTGACATTATAAACTTGAATTCAGCTGAGCAATCATGATATCTACTAGAAATCTACTAGAATTTCAGGATCTTAGTTTAGGTGAAAAAACCATAAAGACAGAGTAAAACATGTTTTAATCTCATTTAGCCAAGTAAGAAACCTGAACATCTATTAAATTATAATATATGTAATTAAATTGATCAGGATCAGGATGCTAATAGGTGTTGGTTTGATCTAAATCTAAAATGATATGGGGTTTAATCTATTATAAGCCTGAAACATCCATGAAATCTTAGCCTCAATAAATGGCATGGTTCACAATAACTGGGATACTATTTAAAGTCCAGATGCCTGGTCCTTAACTTGCATTTACTTAATCAGAATCTCTGGGGACTGTGCCTTGTAATCTGCATTTTAACAAACACACCTGGAGATTCTTACACATACAGAGTTTGAAACTTCAATCACAGAAGGAAAGTGGAAAGTAATATGAGGGAAGTGGCTACTCAGCAGCCTCCAAATTTATCTGAAATTGAGGCCATAACTTAGAACCGAAGGATCAACTGAAGGCTCACAGTACTAATCACAACTATTAATATATCCCTTGGTTGGCTTTTTGGTTGAAATAAAAGCTCAATCACTAAAAGAAAACATGAAGTCTGGACATAAAGATGGCAACAATAGACACTGGGGACCACTAGAGTGGGGAGGGAAGGAGAAGTGCAAGGACTGAAAACCTGTTGGTTACTATGCTCACTATCTGGGTGATGGGATCAATCATATCCCAAACCTCAGCATCATGTAATATGTCCATGAAACAAACTTGCACACAGGCAGCTTGAATCTAAAATAAAAGTCAATTTTTTTTAAATAACATGAAGTCAAAACATTTATTGAGGTATCTTCAAGTCCCACCAAAGTGATAAAATTGGCATAGTTAATACTTCCTCAACATACGATATATTTTATATCAGGCCTGAAATCTCAGGAGGTTGTACTTCTACTGAAAGAATAAGCGCCCATTGCTTCCAAATTAACATATTTCTTCATCTTCTCATAAGTTATTTGCTAGTAACATGAATGATTAAAGACAGAATACATGCCTTTCTAGTGCAGAGGCTGAAGACAGAGAAGAGCTCCCTGAGCTTTGGAAGCAGGTATGGAATCTAGGTCTTTAGAGGTCATTGGGGCAGAATCATTAGGTGGTACTACTATACCCATAGCCCTAGTAGCCATCAACTCAAACACTATCACATTATCTCATAGGAATTCATCAGCACGTGACTCTCCAGCCAGGAATTTATTTCGTGTAGCTCAGGCAGATGCTCCAGGGTTCCTTTCTGAAGAACAAAAAACTCTCTAACCTTATATACGCCATCTTCAAGTTCTTCTGGAGGCAAGTCGGGGTTTCTTTCCACATGGAGGTTCCAGCGATCTAGCTGTACAATTGTCCCATCTTCCACTTGGCACAGGATCTTAGAAACAGGCTCATCAGTGTAGCCCTGAGGAATCAGAGAACACATCCATTGCTGTCCAGAGCGGAGAACAGCGAAGTCAATGCTATTTTATGCAAGGAAGAGCCAAGCCGCTATATTCTGTTTATTTTGTAATTAGCAAGGTTTGGAGAGCAAATTTTTCACCTTGAGGTAAATTTGAGACAATACTGTAAGATACATAGAAACACTAGTTCTGGCTGGTTTGAGCTCAGGAATATTTTTTGTCAACAGCAAGAACCAATAGTCACCGGTACACATTAAGGGTCATACTGGAGGCTGGATGGCTACTTTTATCAGAGTAAAAAACAGGACTCCTCGTGGCTCTCACTAGAGGAATTTGGGGAAAACACAAAACAAATGTGTTTGGAGAGGCAAGGAAAGAATCAAGGAGGGATGGGATTGACAATGTTTGTCTATTAACATTCCCTCTCAACCACCTCTCCCTGACCTCCTTGGAGGACACCATTCTTCCCAAGACCTTAGGCAAGTCTCACTGAGGAATGGCCCTGTTAGGGAGCTACTTAATCCTTGAAGATCCATTACTGACAGCAAGATAGACTGTCCTCAATATTCAAGGCACTGATTTGGAATATTCAAGGCACTGATTTGGAAGGGAGAAGTTAACACTGTTAATAACCTTAGTTGACCCACGTAAATACATTTTTTATTTCTACACTGCCTACTTTTAAAAAAGACCTGTGGAAGGTTAATCTGCCCAAAGGTCAACTAACATCTGCTAAACATCTGAATATAATTTTCACAAAGCCCAGCCCAGGTAATGCTCTCCTATAAGCAGATAAAAAGTTTGTGGGGGCCAGGTGCAGTGACTCACGCCTGTAATCCCAGCACTCTGGAAGGCCGAGGCTGGTGGATCACGAGGTCAGGAGTTCGAGACCAGCCTGGCCAACATGGTGAAACCCTGTCTCTAATAAACATACAAAAAAAAAAAAAAATGCTGCACAGGGTGGTGGGCACCTGTAATCCCAGCTACTCGGGAGGCTGAGGCAGGAGAATTGCTTGAACCTGGGAGGCGGAGGTTGCAGTGAGCCGAGATTCACCACTGCACTTTAGCCTGGCAACAGAATGAGACTCTGTCTCAAAAAAAAAAAAAAAAAAAAAAGTCATAACTCTCCCAAGTCAGGCGTGTAAAGTTGAACCAGATTTGCTATCATAGCTGGGGCTGACAGTCTGGATTAATTGAAGTCTGTATGATCCTTTTACACACAGACTTGAGGCCAAACTCACGAACTATCTTTTAGTGGATACCTCAAAAAGCTGCAGGCCTATGTACTAACCACTATTATTTCTCTCATACTAAGCTTTCCTTTCCCTTCTAGCTGATTATAAGTTTAAACTGAAGAAGCTACCAGACCAAATAAGGGCTCAAGGGCACTTTGATTCCAAACTCTAACTTATGCCTTGGACAACAGCAGCAGTTACCACCCCCCGCTTCCACTAGAACATCAGTGGATCTGGAATTCGGTTTGTTGTTTGATGATATGGGCAGTCCCCGAGAGCAGTTCTTACCCCTCCCCAGTTGAGAGTTCGAGCCAGGTCATTCCCAGTCCCCAGAGGAAGGACCCCCACAGGAGGCTGAGGGCTCAGCTGTAGTTCATCCAGGATAGAAAGGATCCAGCCCACCTACAGGCATATCGGGGGCCAGAAGAGATAAAAGAAAGATAAATAAGTTACAAAGAAAACAGTGTGAGAAACAGAGGCTTCCAAGAGCTAAACAGAATGATTTTATTTTTCTTTAAAACACGTATGTTTTAATTCTGTGAGTAGGGAACAGAAAGGTCACTTATCGCTGGCAGTTTCAAAATGGTTAAAAGATAAAGGACCATTTTGCACATGCTCTATCATACAAGCAAAACTAAAACCATTCATGTGTGTGTTTAACTAGAAACATGCTTCTAAATTTCTCCGACTTTAAGACTTTGGTAGTATAACAGGGCACAGGAGGGAATGTAAAACTCAGGATCAGACTGAATTTCAATTCTGACTCATGCTGGCTGCATAATCTTGACTAAATTATTTAATCTCACTGAGACTCATTTACTTGATTTTCAAAATGGGGATAATAATACGTACCTCACACGATTGTTTACTAATTAAACTAAAATGTACATAGAGCACTTAACATGGTGCATGGCCCATGTAAGTACTTATTAAATGGTTGCCCTCTATAGTATCATCTTGGAAATTGATAGTGTTTTCCTAAATATCCCTCTATTTTCCTTAATGAAACATTATGAAAACATAATTATGGACAGACCTAGTATCTATTATAAGTTTAGGCAGGAAATTGATACTTATAAACTAGAATCATATACCTGTTTAATCTTTTTCTAAGATAAATAATACTTTGGGTTTAGTCTTATAACTAATTAGAAAAATTGACCAAAACTTGGAAATGGCAAAAAAGGACTTGAATGTCCTTATAATGTCATACTAAAATAGTGTTTCACAAACCTATCTAAGAACTGTATAACTGTAGGTTAACATAGATTTCCGTCCCATAGAGACACAAATGTCAAGAAGAGATGATTGCTTTAAAGTTTATAGTTTTATTCTCTCATAGGACTTTGATCAGTTTTGCATCAAATCTAGAAAAATTATTTTGATATGAAGTACGTAATTATTTTTCTCTAGTTCTGATAAATCAGCTTTACTATCTTGCAGGTTCCCTCATTAAAGAGCTAAGCAAATTTTTTGACATGTATTCATTCTATATTTGTATGAGTCATGCTTCTTGAAAATACTAGATCATTCGTTTATTAAACACTACTTCATATAAAACCCATAATGAAGCAATCAAAATAAGAGATAAATGAGCTAGACTGTGACAGATAAGGTAGAAAGATTGCTCTCGAGAAGTTCACAGTAACACAAAGATGGACATGCCGATGCCTTTCTTTTTTTTTTTGAGACGGAGTCTTGATCTGTCACCCAGGCTGGAGTGCAGTGGCATGATCTCAGCTCACTGCAAGCTCCGCCTCCTGGGTTCACACCATTCTCCTGCCTCAGCCTCCCAAGTAGCTGGAACTACAGGTGCCCGCCACCATGCCTGGCTAATTTTTTGTATTTTTAGTAGAGATGGGGTTTCACCATGTTAGCCAGGATGGTCTCAATCTCCTGACCTCGTGATCCACCCACCTCGGCCTCCCAAAGTGCTGGGATACAGGCATAAGCCACTGCACCAGGCCCATACTGATGCTTTTCTATGTGCCATGCCTGAGTAAAGTCCTTTAATGAATTCTTGTATTAAACTTTAAAACATTATCTGTAAAATAGATACTAATGTAATTTTCATTTCCATCTTATAGATAAGGAAACAGAGAATTGGAAGGGTAAGTGACCTCCTTAGTATCACATGGCTTACATGATAGAAATGGCATTCAACAATAGGAATGCCTAACGCCAGTGGCCAACCCCTTAACTGCTAAGGTGTAGGGAGCCTTTAAATAAAGAACTCAACCCCCTTCTGGATACGGCCAGACACTCCTGGAAGCAGTGGCATGTGATTTTTAGAACCTGTGGAGATGAAGAAACTTTAAACATTGCTTAATCAAATTCAGTGAACTTGAAGATTGATAAACTGAGGTGCAAAAAAAAACATGTAATTTTCTCAAGACTAAATTAGAAGTGTCAGAGTCATGGTAACGTTGGTTCTCCTGACTTCCATCTAAAATTCTTTCTTCTCCACAAAGATGACTTCCCAGGATGTAAAACTTGCTCGTCTACCAATTATGTCTAAAATTGTGTTTATCTTCTAAAACGGCAGACCACATAGTTCACCCCATGTGGTAACTAAAAATCCAGACCTATAAATGTCAAAAAGTCTGTCCATTTCCCTAAACTGGGGCACTTGCTCCGAGACAGACCCTTAGATTCTGACCCAGAGCTTCTTTAGTCTCTTCTTTTATGTGCAATACCAACAAAGCTTGCTACTGAAGTCCAAACAAAAATGCCTGATGCTAAATTAGTTCTGATGTTTGTACTTGACATTGTTTCTGCACTGCTAAAAGCACAAATTAAACACAGTAAAAGTAGACAGCTCTAATAAACTGCAAGAAGGGGTCTTAAAGGCCATAAAAAAGACATAAACACTCAGAAAAAGTCCACCATCTGCGATCACCAACTGCAGAAACAACAGCCCTGAATAGAGCCAGACTCACAGACCCACAAGAGAACTTAGTAGAAATCTAATTCAACACCCCTTCCAAATAAGGAAGAAGAAGCCATTCTCTTTAAAGCTTCTCTAAGAGACGATCATTCAACCTCTCCTTTATGATTTGTACTTACAAGTCAGCCCATTTTCTTTCAGGCAGATTTAAATTAGACATTTTTCTTATGCTCGCTTGAAATATGTCTCTCTTTTCTGGGTAAAGAAAATGCTATGAGTTTACACTTTCAATATCCCATTTCACTCAGACATAACGATGATAGAAAAGAAAAAAGGAAAAAATAAAGAGACACAGCTTCAAAGGGCCAGAAATAAATACAAAGTGGCAGAGCTGGGGTAAAAGCTTGGATCAGCATGGCTCCTGGTCTCGCAAACAACAGAGGAAGCCAGGATGTTGCCTTTTGGAGAAATAAAAGTGCGTCCCCTACCGACAGCAAGCTGTCCTGGAGCGAGGCTCTCTCAGCAGGGAGGAAGAAAGGAGGGCAGAATGTGAAAACCAGTCTAAGGTCATGGCCCACAGAAAGGTGAGACCTGCTAGGGCTGAAAGAAGCCCAGAAAGCCTCACTCTGGTAAGTGCTCGACCCGACTTCCCACAAGCCCAATGACATACACCTGTCATCTCCCCAGGATAGAGTCATAAGAATCTACAGAAAAACCCAGCTCTCATCTGAAAGTCCTGAAAACAATTCACTATTACTAGAAACCAAAGTGATTCAGAGATAGAAAAGTAAAATCAAATAAAGCAACATTCTGTGAAGATGAGCTTGCAAAGAAACAATTTCACATTGCAGGAGGAATGCTAATACTAAAACAGATGGAACGTTAGGGGTTAATTCACTGCCCATGGAACACAATTTCCAAATGACTTTGAAGTACGTGACGTGTCCCACAACTTCTATGAATCGATGCTGTGTCTTTTTTTTTTTTTTTTTTTTTTTTTTTTTTTTTGAGACAGAGTTTCACTCTGTTGCCCAGTCTGGAGTGGTGCAATCTCAGCTCACCGCAGCCTCCACTCGTGGGCTCAAGCGATTCTCCAGCCTCAGACTCCCTTGCAGCTGGGACTATGGGTGCAAGTCACCACACCTGGCTAATTTTTGCATTTTTTTGTAGAGACGGGGGGCTTTTGCCATGTTGCCCAGGCTGGTCTCAAACTCCTGAGCTCAAAGTGATCCACCCGCCAAAGTGCTGGGATTACAGGTGTGAGCCTTGGCACCCAGCTGATGCTGTCTTCTAACAGCCCTCATTCAAATCTTCTACGCTGTGTTCCTATCTGTTTTCTCAGAGAAGGTTGTCAGGAGTTCTCGTGATACTGAACTATGATTCCTCACAAAGGCAGAGTCGACAGGGTGCCTGGATTTCTCACCATCTCTTCTCCTTTTATCCTTGGTCTATGCAGAAAAGGACAAGTACACAGGGTGTGAATGTAAAGGTGCTTTGCCCCTCATCCATCGATTTGCCTTATGAACCAGATAAATAGATTCTGTCTCCTTTCTTCTGTAGCCAAATGATCAAATATGTCACTGTCTCCTGAATATAAGCAGAAAATCTTGCATTTCATCATTCCATCACCCTTGGAGTCATCAAAGGCCTCCTGCCTTTCACAGCACAGATTTTGTTTTGTCTTGAAATTCTCCCACAGACAACCGACATTAGGCTAATAGTTCTCTGGCTGAGGTGGGTCTATATCGCCCCCTCCACAGCTCCTGAATAGTTTTTCTCAGCCAGCAGCTCTATCAGCACTCCCCAACAGCCGGTGTCCCCAGAAGACAGCACAGCGCAGAAGTGTGGGGCACTGAGCGGCAGGGAGCTCAGCCCCACCACAAACTGGCTGGTGAGTTTAGGCAAGTCATTTAATCTCTCCAAGCTCCTCTCACATCTGTACAGCAAAAGTAATAATAATGCCTGTCTTTCAGAGTTGTTTCATCAACTCATGTGTAGACACTGCTTAGCTAGTGCCTGACAAACAGGAAATGCTAAACTAACATTAGCTACTATGACTCAGCTAGATTTTCTTCCTCTTTTCTCACTTCGTCAATAAAGGCCCGGTTTCCTAGAAGCAAAATGTCTTCTTCCCATTTCTCCACTTAAAGTTGAGCCCTGAGTTTGCAAATCAGTCCCACCTTTGGCTGCCATCAAATCAGGAAGCCTTTGTTTTGCAGACTATAAAGAACAGTGAAAGCAGGGCTGCCCTGCAGTAAAAAGGGGCTACAAAAAACAAAATGGAAACAAATACACACTTACAATAGCAGGAGACATAAAAAAATCTTGGGAAACAATCTGTGTCTTTGTCCTTAGAGAAAAACTTTACAAAAGATCTTAAAGCTGTTACTGGAAGCTCTGTCTTTACAGTAATCCAGAACCTGTTTCCACCTGAAGTCCACACTGCACACTGAAAGGTTCCATGGGCAGGAACTCTGCCACGGCTTTCGTATTTTCCCAAATCATCTCCACCAGC